ACCTCTAAGGACACTCTACATCTGTGAACAAAAGCAGCACCTCCCACTGCCTTCAGGCAGTGTGCAGCCCACACTCGCGTCTCCCTTCTGAACACATTATGTCTGTTTAGAGCACTACATGCTGCCCTAATACCTGATGTTTGACAGCTCTGATGCAGTTTATTCCCGTGTGTGGTTTCAAATGCCTCACCAGCTCCAGAGACCCTAATCAAATTGTCCCCTGCAAATGCTCTACTCCAGTTACATGAGAATGTCCACAGATCACCTCAAGGCCTCTACCTGAACCTACCTGTCTGAGGGCTGGCTGGCTGGGTGGCCAGTGGCCCTACTCAAGAATCACCTCTCCCTCCAGCTCCCTGCACAGGTTGGTCTGAGGCTGTCCCAGATCTCACAGCCAGCACTCCACCTACTATCCACATTCAAGGGCCAGCGGCCCCCTGGCCCTCCAACTGCTATCTGTCTTGATTCTGCAGTCACCACTTCTCCTTTCCCACCCTTCTCTGCCCCCTGTTCAAATCCAAGATCACACACAAAGTAAACAGCCCACTATACTGATGCTGTCAAGAGGAGGACTCCAAAACACACAGACCTGGTCTCAGCTCCCAAGGGCCAGCATCTTTGGGCAGGTTATTTCAATGTTGTGAAGTTTTGAGGACCTCAACAAATGAGATGATATATACAAGTTACTTTAAATCTCTACCACCACCCTGAAACACACAGTAAACCCAACCTCTTCCCAGGCAAAACCTGCAGCCACAGGCCAAAGACACCCTGGCCCTAACCCTCTGCAGCTTCCGCAGGTACAGCTCAGTTATACACAGTCCTTGGCAGTTAAAAATAGCATGGGCAGCTTAGTTGAGCTCGGTTAATGGAATAGCCAAGTTAATTTTAGCATCAGAGAGCTCAAGAGAATCTAAAATCCCTGACACCAGGGACCGGGTGGCTAGCATGATACCACCTTACACTCAGGCACTCGGGGAACCTCCAGTATTACTATTATTATTACAAAATACCTCTCCTTGAGCCCAGTCTGGCTGCATGAAGATGCTGCTACAAAACCTATCCCAACATACCTGGTCCCTCCCTCAGGGCCATGGGCAGTTCTAACCCCCGCGAGGACCCTGGAATGGTGTGTTTCTGCCCCGGTGGAGGAGCAAGTCTGATCCAGTATGCCATCTGCCTTACTTCAGGCAGAGCTGGATCTAGAAGCCCTGAGCGTCCAGCCAATGGCTTGGGGCACCACCTGCAGCTCGGAGGCCAGGGCGAGGATTCCCTGCCCCCACTTGTCATTCTGCCTGACCACCCCCATGCAGTTCTCCTCTCACTGGGTCCCTCCTGCTTCTGGTGAGATCTGGTTTGTCGCCAGGCAAGGGAGAGTGCCAGTTGGAGGCAAACCAGCCCTGACCACAGCTCCTGCCACAGCACCAGCTGTCTGCCATGGCCACATTTAGTTGAATGGGTGGAGCTGTGGGGTTTGAGTTCAGATTGCCTGTGCCCTGCTTCCAATCTTCCAGCAAAGAGCAGGAGAACCCTTGGAGCACCAAGGTCCAGGGAGAAAGACAGGAGTGGCCAGAGATTCAAAGGAAGCCCAGCAGCAAAGACCAAGGCAGAGCCCAGCTTCCCAGGACCCATGTGCCCCACACAGACCTGGCTCTGCCTGCACCTCTGTGAAGGGAGAGGGATTTCTCATCCTGGAATGGCTAGGATTTTAAATTTTTATTTGTGGCTCAATGGAAACACGTTTGTGTATTGTTTTTCACTGAATGTTTATCAAGACAAGATGGCACTTTTTAAAACAAGTAGTAAATATTACGTAAAAGGAAAGTTTTGGGCAGCGAAGCTACCATACAAAGCCAGGGAGCACTGGGCCCAGGCATCAGTGCCCAGCAGAGAAGCTGTCCCTGTAGCTGCCACCATTGACCAGTCCCAACTCTGGAGAGCTCAGCTACACACTTCCTCAACATAGTGACCTCAAGGAAGTGGCAGAGGCACTGCCGTAACAAAGCAGGAATTGTTACCAGAGACACGGGTGCTTAACATTCTAAGTGTACCGAATCCTAATTGAAATGGAAAGAGACAGATTCTCCAAGACAAGAACAAAATGGCTACAATAAAATACTTAACTTCCATTTGGCTCTTCCTTCTACATCATCCCTCTGCAAGATGCAGAAGGAACAAGAAAGAGGAAGGGGAAAGGAGAGTCTTTCCATTTTCCCCAACATTAGCCTCTGAATGAGACCAAGTACTGTCACATGCTCCAAAACTAAGAACCACAGAGGCCAAGGTCCATGCCAAAAAAAAAGCTCCCCACCCTTCAGAAATGTTCTGCCTTTTTTTCTCAGCAACAGTAGTGGTAATCATGTATATTTGTGCAATTTTAGAAACAATTTTCTTCTGTCCTTTTTGGGGGTGGAGGTGGGGAGTGTTAGGAAGCCTGACAAACACTGCCTTGTGAATTCCCACCGGATACAGCAGACAACTGCCCGCCTCCTGCAGAAGGGAAATGAGGCTACTAAGGGGAAGACGCTTGCCCTTGGTCATCCCACAAGTCACAGGCAGGAAGCCAGCTTGCCTGGAGAAGGAGTGAGTGTGTGAGAGACAGAAACAGAGGAAAGACAGGGAGACAGAGATAGAAATAGAGAGAGAGGCAGGGAGACATAAGTGCAACTGCAGTGTCATGACCCCACACATTTGGTCTGGGCAAGCCAGGGAGTGGCCACAGTGGAGGTTGTACAAAGAAGCCCAGGAGCTCAGCACCCCCAGGGCATGCCGAAGGTCCTCTTTGCTCCTGTTCCACTAACAGCTTTCCCCAGGACCCGGCAGCATTCGGCTAGCAGGACAGCTGGACACCACTAAACTCCAACCTAGCTCACCCACAGTCGCTGTAGGCTTCAGCCAGCCTCTTTAACTGGGCAACACCCCTTCACATATGCACACAAAGGGGGCCCAAGTGCCTCTCCTGTGTGCACAGAAGGGGCCCAGGTGCCTCTCCTGCACCAGCCCTGTAGTTGAGGGCCCTTAAGAATGAGGAGACAGAAATGGGCCTCTTGGAGCCAGAGCACACTGGCAGGGAGCAGCTGGAGCTCGGGCACCTCTGTCCATCCTCATTATCCTCTCCCCAGAAGTTCAGCACTGCCCATTTCCCAATTAAAGACAAGAGCTCCAGCCACTGGCGTTTCACTTGCTCATTCAACGTGGGACACCAAAGAGGAGGAGAACAACCTTCTGGGGCAGCTTCCTCAAAGCTGCTTCCTCCCAGGTAGGCTTCTCACTGAGGGACAGACCCTTCCCAACACCAAGTATGGTCTGCAGTCTCTGGCAGGCAGACCAGTGAAGCTCTGTCTTTGACATTCAGGGATTTCCTTGACCTCCTGTCTTTGCCATTCTGCAAAGAAATGAATCCTCTTTAATTCAGCAACAAACACTTCCTTCTGTGCATAGTGGCTAGGGCTGGGCTAGACCAGGTGCTGAGCACCCAGTCTGAGGGCCTGGCTCCTTCTCAGCCTTACCTACTCCAAGGCCCCTCCTGCATCCCTGCCTTCACAGACTGGAACCTGGGCTGAAGGGAACCACAGCAAACCCACCCTTAAGGGAGAGGCCTTCACCTGCTCTGGCAGGGAGGACACACTTGAGGCACCTCCGGTAGAGAACAGTGGAAACTGAAAGCATATTCCAACCACATGAGTGGACACTGCTCAAAGCTCTGCAGGACTTCTGAGCCAGAGACAAAACTGTCTCAGCAATGATTCAAAAACCAAAATAAAGCTGACAGGAAACAACACGCTGACTGGGTCGCTGGAATCCCTGGGGCAGCATCAAATGTCATCAACAGCTGACACCCCATCAGCTGCTGGGTGCTGCAGTGCCTAGGCCCTTCTCACAGGGGAACAGGCTAGGATGTGGAGTGGGTTCAGTGGGGGAGAAAGGCCATAGCCCTGGAAGTCCCAGAATTCCTCTCCAAGGTAAACCACACTCAGCTCCTGAATGGCCTTGGTACACAGGTAATGGTCCCCAGAACAAGACCCTAATCTAGGGGCAAACTCCCATTTCACCTTGAAAGCAAAACACTGGGAAAAGCAAACCCTTCCTGATAAAACCAGGAAATCCTATCCCTTTTCCCTGAAAAACGCTTTCCCCAGCCCACTTCAGAGTCTGCTTCCCTTCCCTTCCCCCAGCTCTGATGGCCCAGAGTCAGGCCTCATGGGGGTGGGGTAAGCGCCTGAATGGCCGGCCTGCTGGCCAAAGCTCCCACGGTCAGTTCTCAATGGAAGGAGGAGGTGCTGGTGGCTCCTGTGACTCCCGCCTGGCAACCCTCTGCCAGAGGCTCCAAACGGCACACGGAGCACACAGACACACAGAGTCCTGTGCCCACGCACCAGCCTGCCACCCTTCCTGCCAGCAACCCCTGGGGAAAGGGTGGAGGAGTGTTCACACCCCACTGCAAGGAAGTTTCTGTGAACAGCCGCTGTGGTGAGATGCGGAGATTCTGATATCGGCAGATTTGACCCCTAACAGGGAAGCATCAGGACAGACCCACATGCGTGTACACAAGCAAGCAAACAGGGACGCACACAAAACCCCGCGCGCGCGCATTCTGCTGAACGGACGGACAAACGACAAACGTTGACAGACTCTGCGCGCACTCCTGCACACACAGATACACGCAAGCAGACCCCACGCACACTCCTGCACCCAAGACACACGCAGGCAGGCCCCTCATGCATGCACACTCAAGCACATCCAGACAGATGCGCGGTGCCGGATCTTCCGTCAGCTGCTTCGGAGACCCAGGACCACTAGGGCGCAGAACAGCACCGGGAGCTGGTCCCGCGGAGCCGTGGGCCCAACTTGGTCTGGCCCAGCCTGGCCCCGGGCTAGAAGGGCGTCTTTGAGGAGACGGCCGCCTGGGTCTCCGGTAGCGCCCAGAGGGCGCCGGGCCGGGAGGACACTTCTGGCTGGCCACAGGGATCCCGCCCCGCGCCGGCCGCGCGGGCACTCACCAATCTTGATCCTCACGCTCTGGAAGACCCGGAGCCCCTCTTCCTCCACCGCCATGCTGCGTGCCCGCGCCCGTCACACGCGGGAGCCCGCAGAGCCTCTCCCGAAGCGCGCGCCAGGCCCAGGGCAGTGCTGCCGCAGCGGGCAGGGGCAGCCAGAGTTCGAACCGCAGATCCAGACGGCGGAGCCTGGGAGACCCGAGAACAAGAGGACCTAGCCCCAGCGGAGGATCTAGGCGGCTGTGCCCCAGTGGGGCTGCTGGTCCGCGCTCCCTGCCTGCCACGCCCTTCCCGTCCGGCCCCGCCTACGATCCCGCCCATTGGCCGAGAGAGGGGGCGGGGGCGAGAGGCTCCGCCTTCTGTCCTGCCCCCTCTTCTCATTGGTCGGAGCCCCAAACGGATGGGGAGGAAACTGCTCCACCCACAACCCAGATTTATTTTTCCACTGGCGGAGCCTCGACGAGGGGCGGGGTCGGCCTCAGAGGCGGGATCTGGGGGGACCGACTGCGCGGCGTTCTCGGTGATGGAGACTGGCCTGGCTCGGAACCTGGACCACGACTCCAGGAGCGGCCTCGGCCCAGACCCGAGCCCCGCAGGTCGGCCCAAGCATCCGGACGCGCTTCCGAAGTCCGATGTCTACCAAGCAAGGGTCCCCGCTCGTCAGGCTCCTCCAGGCTCGGGAGACAAAGGGAAGGTCGCATGTGCCAGTCTATGTATAACGCTAGGTTCCGTGGGACTAAGTCGTTTTTGAGATTTAAAAAGCAAAATTCAAGGGCTGGGGTTGTGGCTCACCAGTAGAGCGCTTGTCTAGCACATGCAAGGCCCTCAGTTCGATCCTCAGCACCACATAAAAATAAATAAATAGAATAAAGGTATTGTTTCCAACTACAAATAAAAAAATATTTTAAAAAGCAAAATTCAAACATAAAAATATAAAGGAAAAGATTTCATCTGGCCCAACCTCGAGTACTAAAACATGATCCAGAAATGACCACCTAGAGATCACGAGGTACAAGCCGATGATTGGCTCTGGTAGAAGAAAGGTGGGGTCCAAGTGGACCTCCGCACCCTGCAGGACGGCCTTACTTGCCCCTTTGTTGTCTACCCACGACCTCTCCTCACTGGCTTGTCTGAAGAGTCATGGCAAGACCTTCAAACAGGATGTGTACCCGTAGTTTAACTTGGAAGTTGAGAGAAGTGTCTCCTTGGCCGCTGCTCCAGCGCTTAGGCATCTCACTCAGGGCCTTGGTAGTTTCTACAACTGATGCTGTGGTGTCCATCCACACCCCTTCCTCTAGGACAGATGCTCCACCATTTACTCCTGAGCTGAGGTTGTGAGTTCAGCTACTCCCCTGCCCACTAGCTTACAGAAATGTTCCCAAAGGTTTTGCACACGGATCTCTGCTTCAGAGTCTGTGTGCAGGGGAGCACATCCTGAGGTAGGAAGCCTGGGGAACAGCCACTGTTGTGGGCCATGCTGCAGGGTGGCCTGCTGCCCCACCAGCAACAAGGACCACCCTTCAACAGGCATGCTGGGCATGCGTGACCACCCCACGCAGGCAGGCTGCAGTGCTATGAGCTGGATCCTTGTGGAAGAAACAGCAGAGGCTGGGGAAACAGTGCTTATCTGGACTGTGGCATTGTGGCTTCGCATAAAGGGGTCTCCTGGTCCATGTGAAGACACTGGTCTCCTGCAGCCTGAGAACTGAAAGACTGAGAATCATAGAGATAGCTGACCAGAAAGGATCGATATTCAGCCCACCAAAGTCAGGACCCTGGATGGGAAGAAGGTAGACCCTGAGGTTTGGGGTGGGGTCATCCGAACTAATCACTCAAAAAATCTGGTATCCCAGATACCTCCAAAGCGGCCAGGCCTGAAGAGATCTTACCACTCCCTGTTAAAAGCAAGTAGTGGCTCTGTGCCAGAAGACCCCTGGAAACCTCTTCAAGTATGGACATGCGTGCAGTCCACCGGTATCCCCTCTACCAGGTCAGCATCACCTGTCAGCTGGACAAGTGCTGATGAGGGAGCTTGACAGGCTCTGCCAGAACACTGCAGCAGGAGCTTGAGGCAGCCACAGAACAAGGTCTGAAGGGTCACTTGCCTGGGGGCAGTCAGGCTGGGGTTCATTGCCATGGAGATTTGCTCAGGACAGGGGACCCAGTGTCCTCATAGGCACCCCCAGTCTGCTGGATGGCCTCTTGCAGTTTTAGAAAGCAATGTCTCTCATTCAGTCAAGCGCCAGGCTGTCCAGCAGACAGCAGAGGCAGGTCCCACAGTGCTTGGAGAAGCTGCACACCAGAGTAAGCACTCTCCACAAGATCAGAACCCAGGCCGACCAGGTTTCAAGGGAAGTCCAGAGGACACTAGTGAGACGCTCAGGGTGCTGTCCCCTCAGAGGTTCCCTCACAGAACTGGGCTTCCTGACGCAGTGGGGTTTGTCGGACAGGGAACTGACAGGCCAAGTGGTGATGAACTGCCACCAGAGGTGGCTGCAGTTACTGTCATGAGCGATGAGGCTGGAGGGTGGCTGAGGGACCCAGTTGCAAAGAGCTGCAGAGACAGTTATCCAAACAGACTGCAGGATGGGGAGTCAGCCAGGAAGAGACTTGTTCATAAAGCCAAAAGAAATCAAGTATTGAAATCAGGAGACTAAAGAAAGTCGTCCCTGTCCAACTTCCAGAGCCCACCAAATGGAGGAGAGACTGTGTCCCAAGACAGTACCTGCCACAAATGTGTATGTGAGATGTTCAAAGGACCTGTGGCCACTTACCAGGGAAAGGAGACACAGCTATGTTGAGGACTGTTGTACTCAGGGTTAGACCACATCACCACTAAGGAGCCAGAGACTGTGCCTCAAAGTGGGAACATGTGAGACTCAGGAATCAAGTTAGCCTGGCCAGAACTGACTCATAGTGAGGCCACAGATCCAGGATCACTCCCTTTGTACTGAATGTACAGTTTGTGTGGATGTCTTCGGTGGTTTTCAGAACACCCCCATTGGTCCTTGGCCTATGGGCTAAGAGCCATCCCAGTCGGGAAAACCAGGTGGGGTGGCAACATGGAAAATAAAAAGCCATATTGCATGCTGGAGGACAGAGCTCAATATTATCATGAAAAGCCCAAGGGATTCCTTAAGTCACCAGTCCAGCTCCTGACAAGCCAAACAGATGTTGAAGGGTGACCGCAGGTTGCCATAAACTGAATCAAGTAGCCAGCCCATGGCAGCTGAGGTGCCACAACAGAACCCATGGGCAGGAGCCCAGCTGCCCATGCCTGCCATGCAGCTGCCAGGTGCAGCCCCAGCTCTGTAAGACGAAGTCGAGGCACCTGTGGTCTCACGGCGTCCTCTTCAGCACCCTCAGTCTTGCCCTCGGCTATAGCCAGAGAGCTCTGGCCATCTCAACTTGGCTCCTGCATGGGTGCCATGGTTTGATCACACCAACTGAGAAGGTGGGCAGTTCACTGGAGTCTTTGGTTAGGCTGGCTGTTGGAGGGTGGAGAGGAAACTTTGGGAGATCCTGAGGCTCTGCACCTGGGGACACTGCCAGTGGCTCAGCTGTGCCAGGACACTCCCTGCAGACAAGCGACTGCACCGCACACTCCAGCCATGGGAAAGCGTGATCCCTGGCAGGTGCCTTTGCTTCTGGAAGCAGCAGATGGCAGACCTGGACTCCCTTCTCTGTCTCTCTCCAGGGGGAGGTAAAAGGCCCAAACAGAACAGGGCTCTGTGGTGGTTCTGGCTCTGGGGTAAGTAGCCCTGCTGTGTGATACGCAACCCACCCTCACTGCCGGGTGGTTGAGGCTGGTGCTTCTGCAACAGTGAGAGGAAAGGGGGGAAAGCTCAGAGGTAGCCACAAGAAGTCCCCAGAAGCCTAAAGCCCATCTTCTTGCATGGGGTGACTTTGGGGACCCTCGCTGGAGCCTGGGCTCCACCTTGGCAGAGGAGGGTGGACAGGCAGAGGAGCACACCCCCCACTGTGCACCTTCTGGCAGTGAGCTAGCTGGTGGAGAGTGCCCAGCACTGGGAGCCCAGGTGCCCCAGGCGAGCAGCGTGGCAGATGTAGTGGTAGACACTGGCTGACCCACAAACAGGAGCACTGTGTGGAGAGCCACACAGACGGTGCCTTCATTCATCCATGGACTGCAGCAACCACCACATTACCCTCATTCTCTTAAGCAATCCCATGTGAATGTAACTGTTCTTCATAGATGATCCCCAAACTTCCCTGTCCGTAAAAGGGGGCTCACAGCACTGCTACCTTCAGCTGGGGGGCCAACACTGTGTGCACAGCAACACTACCAGATCTCCCGAGTAGGCAAGAGTCCCCTGTGTCTGCTGGGCTGGGTGTTATATTTCCTGAGATCCAGGGCTACATTTTGTTTCCTTACATCCTTCTTAAACTGCACAGGGCCCTGCCCCCAAGTTGGGCCTGAAGGCCTCACACTGGAACATGAGGAGAGGCTGGGGAGGTGCTGAGTACCTGGTGGACCTGAAGGCCTCACACTGGAACATGGGGAGAGGCTGGGGAGGTGCTGAGCACCTGGTGGACCTGAAGGCCTCACACAGGTTCTGGAAAGGAGCCATGGAGGTCCTGCAAACAACTTGTTGTCCTCTGAACTAGGCCATCCCCAGGAGCTTGTGTGTTCTCCAGGTTTAACCCCCTCCTAAGCACAAGGAAGGTCTGGGTGGGATGTCTAGTGCCCTCCCTTTGCTCAGAAACCAGTTCAGAGGAAGCCTGACTAGGGCCTGTCTTCACATTGCAACTTTTCATGATTTGTCTCTCCCATCAGGGAGATGTCCTCTTAAAGATATGCACACCAAGCAGTGTTCATGCTGGGGCTGAGTCCAAATCTCAAGCAGCCTTCTGCCTCTCCTCCAGCAGATATGTGGCTAACAGATACTGCTGGACATGTATGGAGCATGGCAAGATGGAGGGGGATGCTGACACTCACAGCTTGCAGAAGTTCGAGGGAAATTGGCAGAGAGAGGAGAGGCAATCCCCAAAGGTCCCCGCTGTGTGATCCATGTGCACCACATTCTTCAGTGACAACCTGATAGAGAGGGAGGCTGTCAGCATGAGGAACAGGAAGGAGGTGGCTGTGGCTGTGAAAGGAATGCAATGCCCTGTGTTTGTCGTAAATGCACACGTGTGACAGAACTGCACAGGTCTGGCTCCACACATGTATTCACATGCCTTCATGCACACCTCCCCTCATAGGCCTGTGTAACCTCAGAAGGCCAGTGCAGTCTGTCAGAGTCGAT